TTGTTGGACGATTTTGCCAGCACTGGTAAAACATCTACTATAAAATAATAGCAATACATTACCATTTAAAAGTCTGGGATCAGTAATTTGTTTTGTTTTGTTTTAAAGAAACTACACTTTTATTCAGCAATTAAATTATCAAAAGTGACATTAAAGACATTTATAAATGTTACAAAAGTTTTCTAATCCAAATAAATGCTGTTCTTTTGAACTTTCAATTCATAAAAATAAAAAATACATGAAAAAAATGTATCACTGTTTCTACAAAAATATTAAGCAACATAGCTCTGATAAATAATAAGAAATGCTTCTTGATCACCAAATCAGCAGATTCGAAATTGCCATCACACAAATAAATTACATTTTAAAATATATAGGATTTGTAATAATATTTCACAATATTTCTGTTTTTACTGTCTTCACATTAGTGGTGATGGTGAACATAAGATACTTTCAAAAACATTATAAAAATCTTTCCAAACCCACACTTTTTGTGTACAGTATGCTATAAAATATATTATGTTAGGATATAGAGCAATTATTAATTAATAATTGTGGTATAATATAAAATGATTTAATATATAGAAGATGTTAATTGAGAAATATTCTTTTTAGAACCCTGTAGCAGTTACGGCATCTATGTGCGACCACCAAAATGTCCTGCCACTTGTCAGGGTCATGGCTGTTCAGGACAAAACTCTCATTTAGAGTTTTTTGCTTTGTGTCAGGTCTGGTTAGGACATTGTGTTGGCTAGAGGTGGGAGAGATGTATACAGAGAGGAAATGATGTCTCTTTAAAGCATCCACAGGGGAAGAAGAGACAGCAGTAAGGAACAAAAGGTGGGAGGAACGATTTTAGGAATCTGTCTGTTTCTGTCTGCAAAGGAAGTGATTGAAGAGATCAGAATCCTCTCATATCAAAGAGGTGCAGAGACACTTCAGTGTTTTTAACAGTCCAGATATTCAAACATCCTTAACAGCATCCTCTCGGCTCCTTCTTCCCAACCGCACATACTCACTTTCCACTGCGTTATAAATTCCAGCAGAAAAGGCCACTTATTCTGTCATAAATCTCCTCTTGCCACTTTCAAATTACAATGATGTATTTGCAAAACGACCATGCCAAGTGTAGAAAAAAGGCAGGAGCGGGAAAGAAAAAAACTCCCCATCTTTTTTATGAGTCAACAGGGCGCATACAGTGGGTGGTTTGTATCGACACTGCATACAATTCTTTTTTTTTTCTTTTTTCTTTTCAGACATGGGGACGGTGTGCACCCGCAACAATGGCACTGACAGTTTCCGCACCCTGATCTCATCTGTTCCGGCCTGTGCACTCCACAGAAACTACTTAACTTTCATTAAACCACGTTTGATATCACCTCAGAGAAGAAACGCAAGCTGCACAAATGCTCATCTGCTCCCCTTCATTCGATTCAATACCTTTTCTTCTTTCTCCCAGACGGTGCCTTTCTCGTAGTCCTTGTCTTGTATTATCCTTCTCATAGACCTTATTCAGAGCAGCGCCATGACAGGTATGAAAGCGAGGATGTGAGGGATAGACTTGCCGTGTTTTCAATGGCATCCGATGTAAAAAGCTGTGTAAAGCTCCTAGATCACTTGTTATAATTTTACACAGCTCATATTGTCGGGAGTTTTTTGTCTACTGAAATTTCTTGGAAAGATATTTTTGCTGTGTTTCGTCATCAGAACAATTCAAAAACACATTAAATAACCGTAAAACCCACTGAAGAAATGTATGTCTATCCCTCACAACCTTGCTTTCATTCCCGTTAAAATCAATGTTGGCGCTGCTGTGAATAAGGTAGGCTATATACCTTCGTTTTACACTCTTTCGCTCAACTGCTCATCTAAACCCCCTCTTCCCTCTGTCAGACCTGTTCTGACTGACTAAATGGCAGACCTTTGAAGCTGTGGTTAGACTTCTTCATGGCTTTGTACTTGTTTCATAGTGTTGAAACAGTGATTCATGTACAGCTCACACAGCCTCCATTAATTTCATGTAATGTAGCTTTTATCTCGCTCTCTGGGACAACCATCTCCAGCACTGTCTCACGGGTCAGCATATTGCTCAAAGACTATTGCTTTCTCTCTCTGTTACTCTCTTCCTTCTCGTTTTTTATTTTTTACTTCTCTCTCTCTTACTCAAGGCTGGCCTGTGGGTTTGTGGGACCTCAGGCCAGACCAATGAAAAAATGGCCATAACATCATCATATTAGACCCTGAAAAAAAATAGTTTTGATCAAAAATACAGGGGAAAAAACAAAAATTGTTACTTTATACCTGAATATACAATATATATATTATATATATATATATATATATATGCCATAAAATTAATAAATTATAGGGCTATATATTTTATACTGGTCACATTTACATTTTTCAATTGGCCTAATTGAATTTCTGTGAATTGAATTGGATATATTAATTGTGGCAACAGTTTGTTTATACTGGCTCAATCAGAAATAAAATGTTGTTGAGCCTATGTAAAAATTTTGTTTACCAAACCATGTCCAATTAAATATTTTAAAATGTAGTAGCAGTTGTTTATTTCTCACTGTCAAAAAAAATAATAATAATAATAATAATTGAACAAAATACAGAACAGACATTTTATCACATAATTTTAATAACAAATCAATTCCAACACAGGCTATTTGGTGAAAATACCTTATTTTAAATAAGGAAAAATACAAGAAATATTAATTAATATATAATATATATAGTTTATTATTTTGATGGCAAAACCGAATTTTCAGCAGCCATTACTCCAGTCTTCAGTGCAGCGTTTAAATAAAATAAATAAAAAACACTTTTTTTATATAGTTATGGTTCTTGGTTTGAACAGGCCTTTAGTCTAGCAATACAGCCTGTGTGTAACACTTTGTCTTTTTTAACGCAAGCTTTTTGCCAAATATATTGACAGTAATGACAGTAAAAACTGAGTGCCCACAAAGCTACAATAAGCTTTGTAACCGTTAAGTTGATAAAAACTTAACAGTGTCTATTTACACTAATTGTAAATAGCCTGTCTTGTTGGCAAAGGCTTTTTACACTAACTCCTCCCACCAATATCTGGTTGGGCCACACAAGATTAAAAAAGACACGCTCCATTCAATGTTTGCAGTGGCGCAGACTGTAAGGAGTATGTCGCGTGAAAGTAGCTTTTGATGTGATCGACCCGAGTTCGAGTCCGCCTTTTGCCAAACTCGCTCTTCTCCCTTTTCCCATATCAGACCGTAAAGGCATTTTTATATATATATATATAAAAAATAAAAATAAAGAAAACTGTTGATCAATTTAATGCATCCTTGCTAAAAAAAAACAAAAAAAAACTATATCACTTATTGTATATTTCACTTGTAGGAAAGACTGGCCCTGTTCTGCTTTTCTATCTTTCTGTCTTTCTCAGTTACTTCTGTTTCTCTTCATAGGCGTATTTCTATTATAGAGTTCAACTTCAAACCTCAACTGTAAATGATGGGGAGTGTGGTGGAGGTGTTGGATGTAGCCTCAGGGCGATTCTTTCTTATTTCTTTATTTCCGTCCTTTGCACGGTTCTCCGGAGCAGGGCGACACAGATCCACTGATTGGTGGAGTTTGGATCAGAGCACAGGAAGAAGTCAAGCTAAGCAGTCACGAGCAGAGAACATCCAGCTCCTCTATCATCCGCCAAACACTTGACCCACAGTAACTCCGCTTTGACAGAGCATCACAGCTTTTCTATGTAAGACAGAGCCTAGTTTCAGGAAAATGTGATTATGAAAGACATCCAGTCGTAGATGTCCTCTCTCTCTTTTCCAGCTTTGTTCAAGAAGGCTGACAGAAGCCCGCTCCTGGTTACGTTTTGCGAACTGTCACTTTCCCGTAAGATAACACCCCTGCACAGAGGCTTGGAAATGCCAAGGTTCAAGTTTACAATTTAAAAGTTTAAATGCAGAACCACGGGTCACCGTGGGCCACAGTAAAGGTCAACGCAATGACGACAGCTGTGGATATTGTTCATTCAGCCCCTCGAGTTACACATTCTATCTTTATCTCTCCATTTTCGCTCTGTAATTTTTGCCGTATCCAAATTGGAAGTCTATTTATGCTGGTCAAAAAACATAATAATTTCATACCACATCAAAACCCTAACCAGGTCTTTGCAATTTCTCAAATGAATAATATGTTATTTGCAGAGAAAGCTATGCATGAGGGTGTTTCTAATTCTCTGTGTTTTTACGAGAAGCTGGGCCATAATTATGGAATTGGCAATTCGGCGTGATAATCCCACTGTGCGATCTTCTGAGTGAGCATAGCAGGAGATACAAAGACACCTGTGTCCCAGCAGGGACTGGACCTCCTTTTCTCTCTCGTCCTCTCTTCCGAAATGACATGACAATAAACATCCGAATAAACCTGTTTCATACACATATGATTAACTATCAGCGCCTCCACTCTTCTGAGCCAAAGAGGCCTTAAAAAGCGAAGCATATTGGCTGCGCTCAGTGCCAAGGCGCATCCCTCTCCCCCTTCTCCCCCTTCTCCCCCTTCCGGGCCTCTGACGCGGGCTCACTGGTAGTGCTCTTTCCCTGCAGGGGGCCCCGGAGCCGGGCTTGTCCTGACACCGCAAACATATGTAAGGACACCTGAGCTACGGCCTCCAGCCTCCCGCCACCAAGGGTTAATTTTCCACCCAGCAGTGCGGCAGCCAGACTTGGCCAAGTTTCCTGTCGCCCACAGTGCACCACAAGCTGTGTTTGGGAGCCAGCAAACAACATTAATCCTGCCCCTATGATGGATCGCATATGCAAAATGTCCGCCACCCTACGCGTCCACACAGCCAGGCAGGTAAGGGGACAGGAAGAAAAGACGACGTACTTGGACGGAGAGGAAGAGAGATTACGGGATCGGAGGAGGAGGAGGAGGGAGACTTGTGACTGTACTTCATCACGCCACTGGAAGTTTCAATCTTCCTTTTGTCTTTAACATTTCAGGTGCCGATGTGTGCGATGCCAGGAAAGGTCAGGAGATGATTTACTGAACATTTATGGAGGCTTTATCTTCAGTCCTTGTCACCAATTCGGGTGATGCTTCATAGAGGGTCGCCAAACAGACGTGGAAAAAGAAAGAGCATGACAACGCCACAACCGCAATGACACAGTAAGAAAACAAGAATGCACTCTTTCATTAGCAAAGCACCGCTGAGAATAAACACTCTCATTTTTTTTCTCCTCATCCCATTCCCTCTATCTCTAAAAGGGGGAGTAGAGTTCTGGTATAGACCTTTCTCAACAGGGTTTCCTCTTTTGTGTGTCCATTATGAAACCTCAGCATGAGAGCCATGTCCATGCGTCCGTGACTGTTCTACAGAATTGAACAATGTCATCTAAAGTGCAACAAAGTGACACTTTTCCTAACTTTCTTTTTCTGTCGTGTCTTGTATGGTAAGCAGCAGTGGTGTGATGGAAATAAGGGAAATTTCCCTCTATAAGGTTTAGATCATTTTTGGGTATGTTCACACGACAACGATGTCAACGGAGTAGTTTTTCCTTTGGTTTTTTTCGCGCACAGATGACAACATTGTCAAAACAATCCCCGTTCACAAGAATCCACAAAAAAGACTAAAAACGCTGTATTATGCATGCCAGGCCAGTAGTTGGCGATGTCATTTTGTAAAGAAGCATATTGCGCGCCTAAAGACTGAATACGTAATACGCATGCGTGTGGAGTCGCCGTTTTCACAAATTCCCATTTCTGTTGTTTACATGGAGACAATAACAGTATTGTTTTCGAAAACTTGCACTTTGAACCCCGATTTCAAAAGCTTGTGTTTTCAGGCTGCTAAAACGCTGTTGTCGTGTAAATGAACGGCCAAAACGCATACGTTTTTCGTTTTTTTATTTGAAAACAGTGAAAAGTAATTTAAATAAGTATATTCAACACTGCCATAATGATTAATTTAATGATCTATCTATCTATAGTTTTACATGTTTATTATACGTTTATTGGTTTATATATAATTTATATATTTAATAGTCAATAGTCAAGTACAATTATGAGTACTACAATACTGCAGTAAAACGCTTTATCCGTGTAGCCATTTCTTTGTTAATAAAAAGTTACATCTTTAATTTCACCAAGCTGCAGTGTAATTTTGTGTTTTGTCATTTCAAGTTTATTTTGATTCAGACATCACTACAATTATTTAATTGTTAGAGTGATGTTCACGTTGCAATCAGTCTGTCCATTTCCACCGGTTTGACCCATTCAGTTCGATTTTAGCAACAACATTATCATATTGACAGAGTAATTGGCCAGTCATAGAGCAATGGAGGCACTACCTCAGTGATTGGGACTTTTGTTTGTATATCGCCATCCCCCCTCATTTTTGACGCCTTCTCATTGAGAACACGATGAGTTCAAAAGAAGTAAAAGATATACAACCACTGGTGTTATTGATGAACAGTGTCACGTCAGAAAATTCTTCAATATCCCATGATCATTTGATTTCATATTTCAATGTATTTCTTAAAAAAGTTTCTCCTTTTGCATCCTCAGAGAAACCTTGGTTAGCTGATAACAGTCTATAGTACTTTAGGAATGAAGGACGCTGGACCGACAGACTTCTCTCCTCAGGACTTTATGCCTTTTTCTCAGTGTCTCAATTGTCCAACTCAGCATGATTCATCATCTCGCCTTAGCCGAACACCGCCCAGACCCAGCACGCCTTCTCCACGTTCTTCTTCCCTGTCTTTCTTACTCACTCCAGAAAACCAGTGTCAGAACACTCTCCTTTTTCTTTGGCCCGCATTATTCTTGTTAGATTATGTCCTTGTGCTGTTCAAAGCGTCCACTTTACAGCTGTGATGCAAAAGTTGTTTTCATAGTGTAAATAATTTTCTGTTTGCTAAGACTTATTCATCAGGTAACTCTTAATTCAAGGGCTTATTCAAAACTCGTTTTCTTGTCTTCCTGTTGTATTGACATCACAAGGTCTTGCTAATGACAGCCTGTCATTGTGGTGGAATTGAAAATGTTATTGTTTTTTTGTTTGTTTTTTTAAAAACAGTTTAAAGATTACATGTTTTAATTTAAGGGGAATCACAGAACCTTGGAAGATCGGGTAGAATAATTCTGTTTAAGTACTGTGCCTCTTTCGCGCAATCAATATAAGCCAGAGGCATGTAAAATATTATTACATGTACTTTGCATTTATTTGATTGTTTGTTATTATGCACAGTATGTAGGTTGCTAGGTCTAAGGTCACCAGAATTACAAAGTGAGTTTCCTTTTGTTTGTGTGGTGTTTCACAGCATGGTCAAAAGGCAAAGTTCATAACATTTAGACTTATGGTCCCAAAAGCTCTCCAGAATTTCCACAGGCCCATCCCAGAAGAGCCTGAAAAAGTCTAACTACTGAAAACAGCATTATTTCAGAAACAACCAAGGGTGACAAGAGGTTTTCATTGCAGATTAAAAATCAATGATCTTTTCAGCTTGTGCCGGCTAGGGTTAGCGCTGCAGAGAAAGAAACGGCTTTCACAACAACCATTTGATTAACCTGGATGATTTTATGTGCTGATAGCGTCCACGGTGAGCAAATCATTATTAGATCTCATTTTCTGCACGGAGAAAACCAGTGAAGCTTAGCTCCACGCCGTGCCCTGTGCATTGAATTTCTGTCTTTGACTTAAATAGGAATAAAGATGAGAGGAGAAACGGTGTGAAAACTCAGCGTGGATGTGGCGAGCCGGAGAGTACAGGCTCTCTATATGTGTGGTGCCATAGGAGGGCAGTGCCCTCTGCGCCCTCTGTGTCCGTGTTTGTGTGTACGCCGTAGAGACAAAGGCATAAACCTCCTGCAGCAGAGGTGCTGTGAGTAATGGGTCCAGAATACGCAATACCAACACACTCATCACTCCTCATCCTCCGTAGCCAAGGTCACGGAAAACCTCTACATTACCTCTACATCTCACTCCTTCTCCGTCTTGCGCTTTCGCTCTCGCTCCCTCTGTCAGGGTGGCCACGTCGCCCTCTCACCCCGCCAACAGCGGGCGGGCGGGCGAGCGAGTGAATGTGTCTCAGGGTTGCTGCTGCGAGCGCTTGATCTGAGAAGCAGAATGGATGGGAGTGTATTGTCAGACTGTCATTCAGCCGGTCTGCAGCAGCAGTAAGCCTTCACAAAATATTAAACTGCTTTCACCACATAAAAGCTGTCCTCTTATACTGCTGACATATGGTTTGAAAAGCCGTCTCTGGTTTGTTTTGGAGAGGTGGAAATTGAACACAACGGCTATTTGAAGTGGGTCGAGGCGCTCTTTCTGAAGCTGAATATACCAGTGACAGTATAGAGAGAAGAAAGCCTTGCTATTACAACCTGTGAGTTTTTGAAAGTTAACAATATAGGCGCGAGGGGAAGGGGATCGAGCTGAGACTTGTATGCGTGTCAAGTGGTGTAAAACCTCAAACATTGGCCTCCAGCTCTCACCAAAAGAGCAAAACTTGGGCCCCCATTCACACGTGGTATTACAATCACCTTTGGTATCCAATCACAAGTGGTTAGGCGAGATCTAGTTTCCTCTGATTTTATCACTTACAGTATGTATATCTCTCACTATGTGTTTTACTTCATGTTGATAAAGCCCATATATAAAGACACAAAATTGATCATTTAAATGAAATTATACTATAACATATTATTATTATTATTATCATTAAGTAAACTTTGAACATGCTTAACTTGAATTTGTATCCCTGCATGATGATGTCAGGCTTTTTGCATTTATTTATTCCTGCATTTAAAATGTTTAAATTTTTCTGATGGTTAATTATTTTTAGTCAAACATGTCCATTTATTTAGAACAGTGGATGATTGACAGGAGAGTATCAGAACAGATCAGTGTTGACACTATACATACATTTTCATCTCGAATCAGTGCTATTTTAGTGTGATTTACTATTATACTATTTATTAATATTTTGAAATAGTTTTTATTTTTATATTTTCATATATGTTTATATTTTATCCATTTTATGTGATTTTGTGATTTAAAAAAATATATATTTAAAAAATATTACTATTTATTTTTATTACAGTTTTAATAATTTTATACTTTAAACTTATTTTATTTATTGCCAAGGCATCTTTTCTAATTTATATGTTTTTCATCTAATATTTATATTTTATTTCAGCTTAATTCCAATAAAGTAAACCATATTTAATAGTTTTTGTTTTAGTTAACAATGACAACAGAGCTCCGAATGTGATTTGCAAGATCGAATCACAAAACATTTTGCACCCCGTTTACACTTATATTAAGCGCTCACCCCTTGTGATTGGATAATGTGATGGGTCTCGGGTGTAAATGAGGCCATGGAGGTGTTCTTGCAAACTTCTGCCAGTGTCTCTCTAGTTCTCCTCACCTTCTCTGTGCTCATTTTTACACTTACATGAAATCTATCCCACACCCTCCCAAGCAGTGCTGGCTCAGAGAGAGATAACAGTGGATTTAGTCCCGGCTGGGCCAATGATTTCCACATTGAAACTGCTATTCATATCAGAGAAGCTGCCTGAACATCAGGCAAGAGAAAAGGTGTGAAATAGCGCGACCAATCTGGAGAGTTCTGGGCAGACAGACAGTGTAAGACTGTCCAGGTGTCTTATAATATGAGGATTAGAGCTTTGCCAAGGATTGAGCAGCACAGGCCTGATATGAAAAGAGAGAGAGACTTACTGAGGACTTCAGAGACATCAGAGGAACTGCCTGTGCTGGCAGAGTGCCACAACCAAGACCATCATTTTCAACCCCAAAATTAGAGAGGTGACCATCTGACAATAAAACAGCCCGTGGAGAGGAGAAAAAAAGAGGCAGACTTCCATTATAAATATTAATCAAATGGAAGCCTTTCAGGGATGGCATTTCTCTGCAGGAAAAGATGTAGTACTTGCCTGTCAGGGCAGCAGTGGAGGTCAGCATGGCCTTTCCCTTGAGTTAAACTTGATTTAGCCCCTTTTGCCAGTATACAATATAGAATATTAAAACCATATGATATTAAAATAAAATAAAAAATAGAGCAAGATAAAACAACTGAGAAAGTGTACTTTTCTAATGTTGAGAATGAAAAATGCTAAGGTTACATCTTCCTCTGTTCTATTGTTCTTCTGCAGGTCTTTAACCAGTCCAACTCTTGGCAGGTACAGAACACTAAAGGACCATTTTATTTCTAAATGAGTCTGAATGGCGCACCACAAAGACTGGAAATGCTGCTGCCCTTTCATTTTAAATGGTACGTTGGCATTTAACATTACACATGTCAGCAGAACTTCACTCCATTTATGGATTCTTAATGTATGTGTATTTGTTCACAGCCACTTATGATATTAGCTGTTGTCATGGGCTGTGGAAAGGGACATTTAACATGTAGATAATGAAAAAAAAAATCTTGTGATCATAAATGAATTTATAAACTACATTCAAAAACTCCAACCTTTGAAAAAGCCTCCTTCACTTCCCCGTAGCACAAAATTCTTGACTTTCACTCACAGAAAGGAGAAATGCAGAGAATACATGGTAACAAAATCGTTCTTTCTTTCTTTCTTTCTTTCTTTCTTTCTTTCTTTCTTTCTTTCTTTCTTTCTTTCTTTCTTTCTTTCTTTCTTTCTTTCTTTCTTTCTTTCTTTCTTTCTTTCTTTCTTTCTTTCTTTTATTCTTTCTTTCTTTCTCTCTTTCTTTCTTTCTTTCTTTGTGTGTGTGTGTGTGTGTGTGTGTGACTGATATCACCATTTCTCTCTGTTAGGTAAGATTTTAACTTACCTTAATGTTTATAAATAAGAATATCATTCAAAAATATCATATATAAAGGTGTATAATAACAGTAACTCTAGTTACGTAATCAGATTACTTTTTTCAAGTAACTAATGCATTATTTTTATATTTACAGCAAAATATATGAGTTACTTTCTCAAATAAGTAGGCTAAAGTAAGTTACTTTTTTACACAACGTTGTGTGTGAACATGATTGTTATTTTAGTTCTAGACTAAATGTGAGCATGCATTTACTCTTCTCACTTGCACAAAAAAAATTCAGTATTCCTCAAAAAGAATAAAATCAGTGAAATGCAAAATCAGAATACTACGCAAACCTCCAATAATTAAATATGTTAAATAAAATATGCATTTAATCTCACTTTATTGATCATACTTGCTGCTGAGTGCTGACCTTCGATGATTCAGTTAAACCGTAAGCAAAAAGGACTTAAGATGTTTTGTTTTTATTGGTGAAGTAAGTGTTGAACTTTCTTCTGCGTCCGAATTGTCTGCGGTCCAGTATGGCAGCACACCTGAAAGGCTTGTTTGAGCTGCGCCCTCTACTGTACACGCTTGAATTTCTTTTTATTTCAATTTTGGTGTGAAAGGGCCTTTACATTTGCCCAAAAATATAACTTTTTTGTTATAAAAAAATACAAGAAAAGTAATGCAAAAGTAATGTAATGCATTACTTTTCTTTAAATGTAACTAACGCAATTAGTTACATTTTAAAGGAGTAACGCAATATTGTAATGAATTACTTTTCAAAGTAACTTTCCCCAACACTGTGTGTGTGTGTATTTATGTATGTATTTATGTAGATGGATGGATGGATTTTTAATTAAAGTTACTTTTACACATGTATATAATGAGGAATACAAATGCCACCCGCTTTGTGTAATGCCACTTACTGTATATCTGTCTCTCTTTTGTTTCTTTTTCTTTTTGCAGTATACATGCCTACAGTAGTATACATCTGACAATTCTCCCCTCCTTCAAACTCTCTCTCCCATTTTCCCTTTTTTCTGTCCTCCCATTATGAATAATGAACTTGTCCTCCTATGATCAAGTCTATTGGGGATTTCCGCTGCGTGTGTCAGGGCCTGTCTAATGGATTGCTGTATGCTAATTTGGCTAGAGGATGATGGGCAGTTCTCTGCTGGGGTCACCGGTGAAATAAAAGAGCCCTTTGTGCGAGTCTGAGCCATGTGCCTCTGACAGACCGGCACAGACCTTGAGAGTCTTCCTTTATACTTGTGCACAGCTACTGGAGAATGAAGAACAATGGGAAACACCAGGCAATGTCACTATTGATTTAGGGAGGGATGTGTGTCTTGGTGTCCTAGACCTCCGTAAACTCCTTCAAAGTGTGTAGGTAACCGGCAACACACTCTTGGATGGTTTCGGATAAGCTGCCTTCCATCCTCTGCGACCCAGCATCAGTCTCACTGGCCCATTTCCAACCCTCAGTCCATCAGCCATTAGGCCAATAATGAAGTAACCTCACATGGTTATTGACTGGCTTGTCAGTAGCCCTGCCTGAGTCCTTAATAGGAGTCATTGGTCTTAAGTTAAAAAAGGGCTGAAGGAGGTAGAGCAGGGCATGCACAGCATCTCAAGTGCCCTGCAGAGGTGAGCAGCTGCCAGCCCATGCAAATGATCTGGCAGAGACGAGCTGCTGTCTGGACGAATGAAAGATTCTGCCATTCAGCCATGGGATGAGTACAAACAGAACTCATTTAGTGTGGTGGGCCTTTGCATAAGAATATGTACAGCAAAGGTTAAAGAGTTAAAAAGTTAAAGATGTTTTTACAGCAAGTATTGTTTCTCTACGATCATCTTAAAAAAATAATATTGTGTCATCATTTATTCACCCTCATGCCCTTCCAAACCTGTATGATTTTTTTTCTTTTGTTAAACACAAATCCCCCTCTGAAAGTCTGAAATTCATAAACATATCATTCACACTGATTTTGTAAACTGGTTCATTATCTCAAAGGATTAATTTGCTTAGGAAATATGTTTACTTGTCTTATGAAGCGTCATTAATGCAGCAATAACCCTTTTGAGGCCTGATACCCTTGTATACATGTATACTTACATTATAAAGTGTGGCCAGGATATAAATCAAACATTCACGCTGCCGTTCAAATGTTTGGGGTCGGTATCAATATTTTAAGCTCACTAACACTGATTTATTTGAACAAAATACAGTAAAAACGGTAATATTATGACATTTTACTTGTTGTCTATTTTAATTCGGTATATTTTAAAACTGTAATTTATTCCGGTGTTGGCAAAATTCCTGAATTTTCAGCATCATTACTCCAGTCTTTAGATCAGAAATTGTTTTAAAATGCGGATTTGGTGCTCAGGAAACATTTCTTCTTATTATGAATGTTGTAAAAGGTTGTTTTGCATTATATTTAGTTGAAACAGTGATATTTTAGCAGGGTTCTTTTTGAAATCCTTTTTTTGAAATTTTTGTAGCATTATAAATGTTTTTAATAGTATTTTGATCGATTTAATGGGTCCTTGATAAATAAAATGAATTTATTTCAAATAAATAAATCTTACTGACCCTAAACTTTGAATGGAAGTTTATGCTTCACCAAAGAAAGAAACACAAATGGGTATAGAACAACACACGGGTGAGTAAATCATAGAATCGTCGTCTTTTTGCATTATTTTTAAGCATCTCTCTCTCTCTCTCTCTCTCTCTCTCTCTTTCTAATTTCAGGCTATCGGGTTCATCATGCACATAAAACTCATCACAGAACATGAATATAAGCGGTTGGAGAAGAGACAGGAGATGTGAACTGTCCCTCTGAAGTTTACTAAAAATGTCTGATGGTTTCGCCCAGACAGTTAGGAGAGCTGTGTCTGAATGGGATCCAAATCTCTGGTATGTGGTGCAGTAATGACAGAGAAATGCTGTCCTAATTATTGTAATTTCCTTTGATTTAGAAAGTTGGTGTAGTTTTAATTGAGCGGACAAATTTAGCTGTTCGACAGCTGAGTTCATGAATGTGACTCTTTCTTTCTTTCTTTCTTTCTTTCTTTCTTTCTTTCTTTCTTTCTTTCTTTCTTTCTTTCTTTCTTTCTTTCTTTCTTTCTTTCTTTCTTTCACATGTTATACTTTTTACGATGTCTGCTAGATTACTCTAAACTGCTATATATATTTTTTCTTATTCAATGAAAATGTATCTTCCAGTGATTATGCATGAAGATAAATTTCAACCCAAACTCAGCCCAGCATTTTATTCTCTCGGGTATCATTTGGATTGTGGCTTTAAAACATTCCCATTGCTCCTGAGAAATAGGAATGCATCAGTAAAATGAGATAGTTAGCATGTATTTCTTATAACGGATGATTTGTATGGCCATCTGTCTGTTATGACTGAACCTTTAGCATATCACAATACCATCAAAACCTCGTTTTCTGACTGAACTCATGTAAACATGTGAAATTGAATTGAGTTGGTTCCAATCAGAATGTCAGATGAATGAGATGCCCGTGTTTTGATGCCCTGCAAAGGGGACAAACAGTTACCATAGCTGTTTTTACAATATCAGACATTCCGTATGAATGTACACATATTTATTGATAGGTTCCAGTTCTCATGGCTCTTTTGGTATTGATGAATGGCAGTGGGTGTGGTGTGATGGCTCGTGTGTTGTCATAATTCGTGATGAGTCGAGCATTCTGGCTGGCTTTATGGCACTTGTGGGCTCGAATTGAAAGGAATAAGAGGGTGTTTTAAGGCAGAGTGGATTTCAGTCTTATCCTGACTAATAGACTTGTGTAATATTACTCAACATTCATTCAGCTCTAACTGAAACATTGTGCAATAACATGCCTAGAAGCAAGATTTAATAATTGCATTTGGGTTTTGTGATTTGAATGTTGTTTTATGAAAGTGTATTGTTCTTGCAGCTGTCTAGATGTGATTTGAAAGCACACGAAAGCCTCAATAAACTGATTGATCTGTTGGAGTTGAATCTAATCATTAATCATTAGCAAGAATTAGTGTAAGATGATACAAAAATAGGATTATTGAGATTTGGAAATACGATCCTGAAGGAAAAGGTTTTTTTTGTATAAGTTTTGCTTTCTTTGTATGTTTAGTTTTGTGTTTGAGATGGCTCCTCCCCCCTTTCAAATAGCCAATAGCGTTTAGTTTACCTGACAAGGTAAGTCTGGACAGCACCATGGAAGCGAATCCGAGCACTGATGATACATTGGATTTAATAATAGAGGTGTGAATAAATTCTAGCCATTTCATTCTTAACCAACGTACAGTTGGAAACCGGAATGAAACTTGAACGTTTGAGCAACCGAACACACATCTCCAACCCATATTGTTCCGTGGCGTGTCAACGGTGTTTGCTATATGCTATAACGGTGTATTTATAGCATAGGGGGCGGGACGCTTTCGATTTTAGAGAGCATTTGATTGGACAGAAGATGTGATGAGAAGCTGAAGTCCGCGGTGATGTCATAAAAATCCGTGATCCATTTTAACGGAAGTGAGAGACTGTAAGTTTTGAATGCTTACATCTCCTAAATGCGAATTTTGTCATTGTTTTGGAACACACCAGCTTATTCATAACCTTAAGGCTAATATTTTCATACTAAAAGCTAAAAAAACTTAAATTTTGATATCAGGGGGCCTTTAAGTGACCCAATTCAGATTTTTTCCTCTAATGTGGCATAGATCAGATATGGCCTACTCATGTGTAATCAGGAACTGGATTGCAGGAATGTGTAAGCAGATTGGATATTTTCATCAATGCCAGGCGTACGTCATTGAAAAAGCAACGATGGCGAATGACATCAACTCAGGTGGACACCAACCACGATCACATGACTGTTTTCAATGGTGCAATGGAGGCTCAACACAAAGGCTCAACACAATCTTTTGCTGACTTTTAAAGATGGTGCGGAAACCAAAAGCTTGCATCCATTGCAAATTTCGCCATTTTTACTTCCTTTTCGGCCTAAGCTTTTCCGGGTCAGTAAGTCTACCTTGGGTTGTTTCGCCAAGTGTATAGAGTAAATGCAGAAATCGGATATAGTCAACAAATCGGAAATTGGGCATCAAGACCTGCTGTGTAAATGCGGCCTTAGAGAGTGTAACTGAAGTTCTGGGCTCTTCTGACAAAGCTGTCTGTGTGAGTGCTGGTGAAGGAAAAGCTTACTGTGGAAAGAACAAATGGCTTTCATTTTCTAAAGTTTCTCATTCTAGGCCAGGGGTGTCCAATCCTACTCCTGACGGGCCTGCAAAGTTTAGTTCCAACCCCAATTAAACACACCTGAACCCGCTAATCAAGGTCTTCCTAGGCATACTAGAAACTTCCAGGCAGGTGTGTTGAGGCAGGTTGGAGCTAAACTCTACGAAAGTGGCCCTCCAGAACCGAGTTAGGACACCCCTGTTATAGGCTCTACTAGTTATGGTCTCCTTCAAATGTCCTCATAATTGTTTGACGTGGTCTATAGGTTAACATGTGAGCTGTGACACTTATGCTGATCCAGGTCATCCATCTATCCTAACTAAAATATAAATAATTTCTATTCGATAAGATTCTATCAAGTTGACTCTCTTATTTTTCTCCCCACTATTAGATGTGTTGAAGTAACCTGAAGAGAAACATAAAACTATGGCTGTCAATATAATAATTGTGATGTCTGAAAGCATAACGAAACATGTAATACTTAATTCTCTTTCTCTCTCTCTCTCTAACATTAAATCGGCTCTAGACATAAACTTCGCTATACACATGAATAGTCATTGTTAGAGTCCATTTCCTTAGCTTATCACTGCGCTACAGTGGAGCTGAGGCCTGAGGGCTGTGTGTATCTACGGCAGCTCATTCACCCTCAGTCGCCTGAATGAGAAATGAGCATCTCTCCCAGCACTGACAACAAACCACGACTGCATGTCCCCAACAAAATAAAGCTCCCTTACTCAGTCAAGAAAAAGACAGTGGGGTTTAGTTTTCTCTTGTGTGTGTGTGTGCTTGTGCATGTGTGAGTTTAAGAAGCTCCCTCTCCTTATTTTGTCTTCCCAAGGTTACGGTCATCATTTTATACGGGATTATAAAAGGTTTCAGCCCGATGGAGGTGTTCAGTGTTATTTTGTAATTAGAATGTAATCCTCCTCTCATTGCACACATTCATTGGTAGACGCTCCCTGCATGCAATTGGAATAATGTGAATGAAAATTGTGAATAATAGCTGTGTGTCTCAAAGTAGCTTCTTCACAGGAAAAGGAACTGTAGAAAAGCACATAAAATCCCTGTCTCACAGGTACTTTTAAAGATAGATTTGTCGAACAAAGGTTTAGTTTGATTACAAACTCAGCGTTTGTTTTCATACAACCTGCCTTGCTAATGAAAAAGCTTCAGATTGCAACTACAGTCTGGCATACCACAGTTTATATTGGACTAGTCCTAGATTCAGATTTAAAAAACTACAGATATCAAGAGAAAACAAATAAAAAAAAGGAAACAAAGTAAGAAGTCTCTTGAAAAAAAAAAGGCTAAATAAATAATAAAAATGTGAGAAAAGTTGGAGACAGAAGGGACACGAGAAGGTAAAAAAGGGAAAGGTTAGTTGGGTGGCCTTTATAGATCTTTATGTCTGTTGAGGGGATCAGCAGGCAGCGGCTGATGAACTTCACTTTCTATTAGTGGCCATGGTGGGGATGTTCTCTCCCTACCGATCAATAGGCTGAAGGACAAGAGTGTCATAAAAATGAGAGACCCTTCTCTTTCTTGGCAGGGCGGTCTCAGAGCGAACGGCGAGGCACTGAGTGCCAGAGACCCTTAGTCCCTCTGGAGTGGCTTTGAGTGAGGGAGCCATTTTGGGCGGGGGCGAAGAGGAACTCTCATCATCCGTTGTCCTTCGGTTAACAGTTTGAAAAGGATAACTCCACCAGCCGAAGGACTCCACAAAACCTATTCTGAATGGTTGGAGGTTGTTTTGTTTCATCTATGATTGTACTATACAACAGTGAAGTAGCAAATTAACTGAGCTATAGGAACTTGTAGAAACTCTTTCTATTCTGTCTCATTCTTAGAATATTTCAATACAAGTTCAGTTCAGTTGGCAGCATTTTTTACATAATCTCAACTGTGAGTGTGATATTGATTTTATACAATAGTTAATATGATAGAAGTTAAAATGTAGTAACTAAGATTTTAGATACAATATTTTTCTGTCAATGAAAACGGCTCCAAAGGAAGCAAAATGAATCGTTTCACGTCTCCGAGCAACTCACTGTAGCATTGTTTTGAACAAATCGATTGAATTGGATTGAGTGAATGATTCAACGACTAACTGACAGTCACTTGTTTCAACCCTGAATGAATCAGTTGAGTGAATGAGTCAATGTCACTTTGGTAACTCCAAGGAAATTCAAGGACTGAAACTACATGTTATTAATATAATAATAATGATAATATACAGTATATGTTGCTGTATATATATATGCATTACTAAGTAATTCATTACTGTCATTTAAACTCTTAACTGTTAACCATTTTTGCGGTTATACTGGACCTGAAAGATTCCTTTAAACATGTCTTCTCCTGATTAACTCCTGTCAATTATAAGATTACAAGAGCTCTCATTTACACTTGTCTGCTGTTCCCTGGACAGCATCAGCCCAGGAGAACAAACAGTAGAGGAAAGAGAGTGGATCACTCCATCAGAGACAGTTCTTTGATAACTTCTGTGCGTTTAGGGCTGAGGGTTAGTGTCCGACCACCCCCACCAACCCCGGTCATGTCTATTCAGCCTCTCCAAATCACACAGACAAATTAAGCACTTCCCTATCCCGAAAAACCTCCCCTTCCTTTACAAATGCTGAATATGAAATTAGCTTGCAACTATTGAAAGGCAGCAGAGGATCATTTTGTGCTGAAAGGAAAGTAAAAGGTTTGCCTCGTGTTTCTCAAATGCAACTGATTTCCTCCGTGAAAGGAAACGAGAAAGGAACAAGAATGTAAAAGAGGGAAGGTGTTGTACCTTTTGTCCTGTCTGATTCTCTCTCTGCTGGTTTTTTTTTTTTTTTTTTTTTTTTTTATCTCTCTCTCTCTCTCTCTCTCTCTCTCTCTGTATATATGTCTGTGTCTTTCTTTCCTTCCAGAGGCTGTGGTAAAGCAGGTTTCGATGTGACCAAAAGCTTCAGACTAATATGTTGGTTTACATTAAAAATCAACAACATTCATTTCCATAATGCATTCTAATGGATTAGAGGGCTGTTTGTCTGGCTAGGTCAGCGTTCTGGTTTTAGTCAACACAGCAACCCACCTGACAAGAGCTATTATGTTTATACCTGTTACAAGCCATGGAAATAAAATGCACATAATTAGCTATTTCAGCCATGATCTCATTTATTCGCCGGCGTCCCTGTTTGCTCACCTTCGACCTCTCATTTCATATTATAAACCATCAATGGGGCAAAAGATACATTATCATTTGTGATATCAGGTGACAGCTCACTCTCTGTGCGTGTTTGTGAACATGAGGTGGGGGATGTAAAATGTGCTGTACCAGACACCAATTAAACGTCTATTTGATGGGGGCATTAGTTCATTCTGGTAAACTATCTGAAGCATTTAGAAGCAGATATAGGGAGGCTTTGTTAGCATGCCATTTGTTCTCTCTTTACAAGAAGGACCTAATTGAAAGGCTTTTTATTTGACAATGCTCTATCATAAACATCTGTTGATCGTTGCCTATATGTTGTGTTCATGATATGAACTGGACAGTACAAGACAACACTACAGAAAGCACATTGACCCATATCCTGTATGTGCTTTACTTAAAGGGACAAAAATTCTGTAATAGTTTGTATCCAGTACAATGACTTTTCATTCTTTTTTCACTATGTTTTCATACAATGAAAGTAAATCCAGACTGTCAAGCTCAAAAATGACAAAAACTACAATATACTTCAGTTTAAAAGTTTAGGGTCAACAAGATTTGTATTTTTTTAAAAGAAATTAATAGTTTAATTCAGCAAGGACACATTAAATTGATCAAATGTGACAGACTTTTATAAATGCTGTTCTTTTGTATTCATCAAAGAATGTTTTCCACAAAAGTATTAAGCAGCACAACTGTTTTCAACAATAAGAAATGTTTCTTGAGCACCAAATCATCATGTTAGAATGATTTCTGAAGAATCGTGCAACACTGAAGACTTGAGTAATTATGCTGAAAATTCAGATTTGACATCACAGGAATTTTAAAATATATTAAAATAGGAAACAGTTATTTTAAATTGTAATAATATTTCAGACTATTACTGTTTTTACCGTTTTCGATCAACTAAATGCATAGTGGGCATAAGAGACATCATTGCAAACTTTTACTAACACCAAACTTTTTTTACCGTGATGTATATATAAAAAGGTTATACTAAGTCTCCTGAAGTCACATGATATCTTTGTGTGGTAATAAAGTGAAATTAAAGTTGTCCTTCTATAAAATTTTGCTTAAAAATAGGCTAACATACGATGCAGATTTTTTTTACAATGTAAACATCGATGACTGGGATGAACTGGAACATGACCAATTGCCATTGTGCAATATGTGACCATTCACAGTGCATAAAGTTTAAATATGTGGAAGAACAGGTGATATATGAGAGCTACAGGAGAGAGCCATTGAATAATGACTGACATTTTAGGGCTGTTCTTCACAAATCTATCTTACAGCTTCAGACGACTTGGAATAGTGCACCATCATGGACCACTTTTATGTAAGGTGCTTTTTTTTAAAACATTTTGGAGCTTATCGGCCAGGTTCCAGATTTACTTTAATGAGTGAATGAATGATACCAGAATTTTTTATTTTTGTGTGAACTATCCCTTTAAGGACACTGATGCACTGAAAATAAGCTGCATTACTGAATGTGATTAAATCAAAAACAATATACAGACATTATAGTGGGTGCTTCATTAGTTTTTGTTCATTTAGCATTTCTCATACTTGAAGAAGCCAGTGTGCCAAGAACGTGCTCGTGCTCCTTTGAACTCAGCAAAAATCTTCTCCTCAAGCATTTAAATTTAACCTACAGAACAAACTTCTGTTCCTCTCGCGGTCTGCGCTAAACTGATTTTTTGTTTTAATTAATGCTCTAGATGACCACAGCTGCTCCTGGAGCCTTCCATTAGAGGTCTTCTAAATGAGCCCATAGAGAAAATACAGAGATCCGCATTCACATGCAGTGGCCAAAGGCCTGCAAGCATGCCTTCACATATAAGCAAAGTTAAAGGAAGGCATGTTCATATGCTCATAGCACTCCCACACACACAGTAATTGCTGTACAGGGCAGGTTCATGGCTTGTAAGTCCTCAAATATGGTTTTGACCAGTGCATTCCTCAACATCCGTAACGCACATGGTGCTTTCTAATAAACTCCAGCTCGGGCAGCGCTCCAGATGGGGGTTAGGAGAAAGGAACACTGATGGTGGTAAGTGGTTTCAGCAGAGACAGCATGGCCCTTCATCCCTAGCCAGTAGAGAGCTGGGTGTTAGTCGGCTTTGGCTGCAGTCTGCACTTTGGGTTTCAGCCACATTTTCAGTGTGTGTGCGCGTTTGTTTTTTATATCCTTGCTGCCCATTTCCTCCGAAACCCAACCTGGGGTTTAGGGTTCCTTTCTAGCCGGATGTTTGTACCCCCGGCAAGAGCTTGCGCTGCCTCTTTTTTTTTTTTTTAAGCGGTTGCTTTCATCTCTCTTTCTCTCACTCACACACGCAACACAGACCTGCTGTGGCTTCCCTATGGTCATTCCGGGCCTGTTTAGTGGAATGGCCCAGAACGTACCACTCTTATAAGAATACCTGTCTGCACTGCACGCTGCCTTTTTTTTTTTTTTTTACCTTTACTGTTTGTACGTCGCCTCCGGCTACATGTCAAATACAGAGTAAAATTCTTGTGTTCCAACAGAAGGTATAAGGCTGCAGAAAAGTCACATACTGAATGCATTAAATTGATCAAAAGTGACAGTAAAGATGTCAATTGGAGATTCTGAATGGAGGAATGGACTGATCTCTTGTCAGTTGTTCTCCAAACTCATCAGGCATTATAGGAGAAAACTCAGAGCTGTTATCTTGGAAAAAGGAGGTTGCAAAAAGTATTTAATAAAAGGGGGCAAATAATTGTTCCCAACGTGTTTTGGAGAAAAACATTTATTTCATAATGTGGTTTTCCCCCCACTTTCAATTCTTTTACTTCACTGAAAGGTTAGATTTTAGCTATTTTTTTTTATTATAAAATATCAAAAGGATTAACAATGCAGATTTATTTTTTACAGCCATCTTTGATCATATTTACCAAGGGGGCAAATCATTCTGACCAGCACTGTATATATATATGTGTATATTGACTTCAAATACCACTTTTTGTAATGTCTATTTAGTCATCTGCCACAAGAATGCGTTGCAATAAAAGTCTTTTCTCAGCAAATATTGATATGTGTGATTAATTATGATTAATGTGTCATGTAATAAACCGATTGACAGCACTAAAAAGCAAACATCTTTCACATATATTGATAAACATGGCTATTTTAAAATACTAATTTCAGTAGCTCTGACACAGTAACCCTTGACGCCCCCTCCCTGTCTCTTCACCCAGCTCTCCAAACTTCTCCTCTCTTCTCTGCAAGACCTCATTTCCTTCATCCCTCCCTCCATTCCTCCATTCTCCGTCCAGTCTTTACAGAGACAGACAGCCATTCTCCTTCATTGTCTTTTAACAAAGAATAGGGACTATAGATTGGTTCCCCTTTTAATATGGCTGGTTTTTATGCCCAATTCATCCAAATTAAATTGGTCACAACCCACCTGGTGTTGCCCTGTCTTCAATGTGTCTCATGGATCATTCAAAGCCTCTCCAGCCAAACTTCACAACCTCTGCTGACCTTGTGTCTTGCTAGTCTGTGGCTATTGTGGTTTGCCCGATAAAAGATGGCATCCCCAATAGAGGTGGCGTACACAGAGGGGGGCAGAGGAGCTTGAGTCCCTGCCCCTTTCATTCCACACTCTAAAAGTGCCCTTCTGCTCATTAAAAAAAAAAAATAATGATAATAATAATTTAAAAAGATAATATGCTTAATGTCAAACTCTCAAAATGAATGAATGAATTA